TACATTGGCCACAACTACACCACACTCTCTTGTAGATTAACTTGACATTTGTCAAAATTTAGTGCAATTCATGCACATACAGATCTAGATATCACAAACAACCAAAATAATATTGACAAATTTTAATAACACCAAAATATCATATATGACTCATTGCAAAGAAAGACACTAGAAGACATTATAATACAAAAGAAATAACTGTTAAATAAGTTATCTTTCTCCATAGAAGATTGCATATTAAAGTGTGTATAAAAAAAAAATAAAGACCTCATATGAATTCAGTTTGACTGTTGCAGATGACATTACCATTAACTGACTTAAATTCCAGCAATTGAAAAATGCCAGAAGTTATGAAACACATTTGGCTAAACATACTGATCACTTACAATTCTTGATAATGACAATTGAAGCTATGAGTATTTTCACTTGTCATTATTAAGAATTGTAAATAAATTGTAATGCATAAAAATGAACTTGTGACAGTTTAACATTTTTTAACCCTGATGTAAAACACCTGATAGTTGAAAAAACTATAAAAAGTTAAATAGCCAGATCATATCAATCTTATTCAATAAAATTTGTTTTTTGATTGAATTCTTGCTGCATATATATATATATATATATATATATATATATATATATATATATATAAATAATTATTGTAAATCCTTAAAAGAGAATAATACCAGGAGGGATATTTATATAAAACTCAACAAATGTTTAACTTATCTTTCCTGTATAAAGTATCCACTTGTAACAGGGTTTGGTAATAAAATTAGATGAGGAAATGATAAGTTGGACATTTTATTTTATTTGTTGGTATAAATGCTTTGATATTGAACACTTTAATTAAAAAGATGACTAACCTTAAAAGCATTATAACCAGAAATACACCGCTTGACCAGGTTTTTTTTTGCAAAACACAATCTTTGTTGTTTTTTTTTTATATATGATCTTATAATTTTATCACAAACATTTAGAAAAAAAAAAAAATGTTTCCTCCCTGCAATTTTTTTTTGTGTGTTTCAAATGAATCCAAATTTCTATTGATGCAGAAAATTTAGATATAGTCAGTGTCTTCTTGTAGGTGCATGTACTCAACTATAACTTTATAATTTTTTTTTATTTGCTATGATAAAAACAAATAAACTAAATTATTTTAATAAGCATAAAAATTCATATTGTATGAACTTTTTAATGAACAAATGCATTTACAATTTCCATTTAAAAAAAAAAAAAGACTAAAACATTTACTGTAGCTAATTATATGATTAAAAGCAATTGTATCTGTTCTCTGCTCACATGCTTCAATTATCAATGTTAATATTGAAAAAAAAAATAAAGATAAAAAATAAAATGAAAAAATACAAAATATTTAACATGATAAATTTTGAATACAGTCTTTCTTTAGAATAGGATGTATTTCTGTTTTTATTTTTTCGGGCAATGGTGATATTTTGGGACTGGAATAAATTCCACAATAAAATAGAATGAATTTAAACATTAAGCTGCTTCTTTAAGGGGAGTCAGTAAATTTACCTTATAAATAATTTAATAAAGTTACCAAATTTTTTAATGCATAAACAATATCTTTGTAAAGTGGGCTATGAACATAAGAATTATGTTTATTACATTAATGATAATGAGATTGAACAAAAATAGTTTAGTTAATAACAACCAAGAGCAACAAGATGTTTTTGTTACTGATAAAAGATACAGCAACATCTTTTTTTTTTATATTTTTATTATTTACCTAAGAGCATATTAGATATATATACTTAAAAAAAAAAACCCAAATTTTACATAAGTTATTGTAGCCAGGTAAAAACATTATCATGAGAATATGTTGCTTTAACAAAGATACTCTGTGAAAATAATAATGCCAAGATAATTCATAAAATTAAACCCAACATATTTAATTACTGACAATATCTTCAAGTATTTGTTTTTTTTTTTGACATATTAATATTTAGTCAGATGACTGATTAACACATTTGTAAATTTATGGCAGTTTGGAAAGTAAAATCCAAGTGAGCATGTATAAATCATTCTAGAATGAACTGTAGTCCATCTAATATTTGTATATAAATCTGTATGCATTGAACTTTAGGTTAAAAGCTATTTGACTAAGAGAATAAAATATTAGAAATATTAAAATAGTAACTAATAAATTTTAACACATTTCAATTTTAAAAATTTAATTTTTTGTGAACTGAGTTTGTCCCAGGATAATGCAGTGTGTGTGTGTATATATATATATATATATATATATAAAAAGAACAAATAGGAAACATATATCAAATATGTTGCACTTTTATTAAAGCTCTGTTTAAACAAAATTGAAAACACCAAAGTTCTGTCTTTTTGTCTGTTTTCTCTCAATCTTTGATGAAGCTTTAATAAAAACTGAAACATGTTAGACTGATATATGTCTCCTATTTGTTCTTTGTCTTAGTATCCTGTAGGATTCTAATCTGCATTTGATCTTGAACTTATGATAGCTCTAGGATGGTGATTTCTTTTTAAGTTGAACCCATTTTAGCTTACTATTTAGCTGTAGACCATCACTAATTTAAAACTAAATAAAATATTCAAAATGAGTTTATTTTATCAGAGAAAGAACAAAAACTATTTTAATTTCTCTACTTCAATAAAATGTTTTTAACTGCACTTTGGTTTTGTTGATCTTTGCATAGAATTGTCAGTGTGGAAATGTGATATGGAACTGTTAACAAACTTGGATTTATATTATTAAGATTTTTATGTTTACTTAAAATCTTGCAAATATTCTTTCAACTTACACAAAGTTCTTTCATGCTGTAATGTAGTGGTTAGAAATTATGTATATTCTGTTTATTCATCTAATTTTACATATGCAATTTAAAAACAAATTTTATTATTCATAATGATACATAATTTTAAAAAAATTTTTGTCATCTTTTTGTTGCTTTTCATTGAAATGTTTTGTTAATGATAAAATGCAGAAGAGATGAAATAAAAAAAATCAGTTAAAATATTTGTAATAATAAAAATCTGAAAATCGACCTATAAGTATTATAAATGAAATAGTTTATTTTAACTAAACATTAAATATAATACTGCAATAGATATACTAAGCTGAACAATTACTTTCACTTATGTTCACATCATATTTACTAATTAAATTAATGAATATATTTTCCATTAAATTTAGTTTAATTCATGAATAGTGTAATCTATACATGCATGACACATTTCAAATGTTCATAAAAGTTAAAAATTTGCATAAAAGACTTTAAACGTCAAAAATAGTTAAAAATAAGACAAACAACTTTGTCTTAAAATTAGGAGAAGGCAAGACAAATAGATAAAATACATTGTAGAGGAAGACTCCAAAAAAATTAAGTGTGACAAAATTCCTTGGACATTTAATATCCAATAAAAGGATTTTGGACACAACATTTAACTTAAATATAAATTTATTATTTCTCAGTCATCAACAATGATTCATAGCAAAACAACTATTAATATTTTTATGATTTTTTTTTTTTGTAATTTCCATGTATATAATATAATCACTTTCCATCTGCCATAGTTCAAAATCAGAACTGTGTATAGCTGAATGCATTTTCTCATATTCAATTTTTATAAATTTAGAAAAATTCATTTAACCTGTTTGATAGCTATATTTCTAAAATTTGTCCCACTAAATAGACATGTAGATGAGATTTTAAATCCATCTGTTGTCATAAATTTATTTTATTTAAGAACTTAAGCAACACCTTTTTTAATTTCACATACTAGAAAAATGATCAACCTTCAAAGAAAACAAAATTTGACAAAAAGTGTTTTGTTTCAAATGAAAGATAAATTGTCAAAATACTAATTTCATTTCTAAGTTACTTTATGCTTATCTACAAAAATAATACGTGTGTGTGTGTACATGCATGTGAACTCAATTTTCAATTTTTCCTGTATAGGCTTTGCATCAAGAAGATAAATTTAAACATATGCTATGTTAAATCAAATTATTTTAACTTAAAGAAAAAAAAAAAAAAAAAAAAAAAAACCAAGATTTCAAAATTTTTACTCATCATTACAGAATCTTTTCCATGAAATTCATATTAGAATTAGTATTGAAATGCTATTTACGTTCTCTCCATGGAACACACACATACAAATCTGTGTCTATGTGCATATGTATAGATGTGTAATCTATTGCACATACATGCTTTTACTAATGTTATTATCAACCAATATGTATAACAACAGACAAGTGAAAAGTATTACAAGGATCTTAAAATCAAGGATTTTCATAACTGAATGCATGGATCATAATTTTATTGGCAATAAATGCTATTAAAATACTGGCAATTAGTCTTAAATTTATGATGTTTAGTGAAACATTAGCAAATGGATTTTTAGGAGGTTTATTTATATTCAATGAAAATAGACTAAATGATCAAAAATAACTAACATCAACATTTTATGTATAAATAAATATAATGCATTCTTGACTATCAGTATAGTTTAACCCTTTCATAATTAAATGAACCTGAATTAGTTTTTTGTCCTTTTTTAGTTTGTGTTTTTCTTGTGTGCATTTTAGTTTTAATAAAAAAAAGAATAAATTGCTTGAATCTCAGAGTCATTGGAAGGTATGAATTTCAATATTTAAATCCAAGCAAACTGGAATACATAGTATTAGTATTATTATTATTATATAGACATGTGTGAACAAGAGAAACATGAAAGGGTTACACAATAAATAGTTCATATAAAAATGACTCCCCTTAATAAGAGATGCATTTGAATTGCTGTTTTCACTTTTGATGAAAGAGTCACTGAATAATGATAGAGACCCTATACAAGCATGAAATGAAATGAATATATCTGATGTGTGCGTGATTTGGCAGAGAGGTGTCAGGGTGGGGGGTTTGTAGAAAAAAAAAAGAAAGAAAGAAAATGTGTTTATGAGAAGCATGCAGTGGTAGCAGCAGCAACAGCAACAAGGAAAGTTCTTATGTTAAATATAATCTGTGGTAGTCATTTGCGCCAAAACCAGCATTACATTTGGGACATTTACGCTGACGTGTTTCATAGCGAGTCTTAAGACATTCTAAGCAGAAAACGTGGAAACACTTTGTCAGTACTGCATCTTTTCGTTTTACTTTGCAAGACGGACAGGTTAGTTGCTCCTGCAACAGATAAATAATTGCAATAATTATCACAAATTCATAAATTGTTAACTCAATATAAAGAAAAAAATTAACATAATTGCCATTTATTCATAGAAAGGACGTTTTAATTAACTGTAACTTGTAATTTCATTATGAATTGTCATGTAATCAAAATCAAAAAATTGACTTACCTTGTATTCTTTGATTTCTTCCATAAGAACTTCATCTGCTGCTCCTGCCATTTCTATCTTTTTAGAACGTTCTAACTTTCTTCGTAAACTAGCAATTTCTTCCTGTAAAGAAGATTATACATTTAATATAATACTGTATGTAATTTACGATTAGTTTAAACTCAAATCTTGTTTGTAAGACAAGAAATCTAAGAACAAATGAAAATTAATTGCATATGTTCTTTACTAAGGTTAAAATAAAGTAAGAGATTTATTTTTTATGTTATCAATAAACTAGACTCATTTACAAAATTATACTGAAAAATCCTTGGCAGATTTCATAACTGATTCCAACTATTTAATAAGGTTGATTCATTGTTTCAGTATTGTTCATCATGGGTGAATCCATTGTAATTCAATCCAAAGAATGTTCAACAAAAGCCCAGGTCCTTCCAAACATTCACCTTGAATTAACACTTGACTGGCCTCAAAACATGCATACCACTAGGCTGCACTAGAGGTAGTTTCACCCAACACTGCAAGATGCTACTAAACCAAAACTTTAGTCATATTCTTATATGTGATCATCAGATTGAGACTTTTATATGGATGTCATGAATGGTACCAAACTAGTTCAGAAATATCTAAACTGTCAGCTGTATATATTAGATCAACGCTTACAAAGCTGCTTTGAGCCTATGGATCTTGGTGAAGACCATCTTTGTTCAAACATTGTGGACTGACACTACAGAATCAAAAAGAAATGTAACAGATAATAAAAACAACATCACTTGAGGATTTTCAACAATAGTAATAGTTACAATGGATTAGGTGCAGTACTAGACTGGCAAGATCTCATCAATTTAGCTAGATGTAACCGTAAATTTTATGCTGTTTCTTTTCTCACACTTTTTGCTTGTGGGACTCCCTTTCCGTCCATGCTTTCCAACCAACCTTAATCTGCAAAAATTTAAATGCAATGTCAATTACTATCTACTGTCCTCCTAATTACTCTTTTCTCTTTCCACTCATTAGTAATATTGCTGTTCCTAATTCTTTCACACCCAGTAACCCCTTGTGTCTTAGTGTTTTGCATGGGATAATCTGATAAAAAATTTTTTTTAAAAAAAATCAACATGTACTTGAAGGCAAAATAATAACATAATGAAGATGTTGACATTTCACACTAGTTCAAAATAAGAGGTTAGAGAGGAAACACCTATCAATACTGGAAAGAGTTATAACAGTTAATGGACTCAAGAAATCTATTTTCCTGCAAAATTGTTTAAAGAGAAAGATTTTATAAATTTCAATTAACAGTAGACTTGGCTTCCCAGTTAATGAATGACGAATGTAAGCTATTACCATTACTAAATAAAAGACAAATTCAATCTAAAGAATTTTCAACAAAAGTTCTGGCCACCCTGAACACTAAACCATCATGAACTGACACTTGACTGACCTTAAAATATACATACCATTAAAAAAAAATTTCAACAAAAACCCAAAGAAAAATTTTGAGGGTCTTCCTAAAAGTTTGCTGAGTTTCAAGCAAACCCAGCCTACACAAAGCAACAATGCTCAAAAGTGTTAGCCATCATAAAGATTACAGAACATAGTGAATTAGAAAACATTATAAACTTGAAGCTCTAGGATCCAAAGGAGGTACAAACAATGTATGTGAAGGCTTTCAAATGTAAACTTTTGTTGGAGGTAAACTAGCTTGCAAAATGGTCTACGTAACTTTGGCCGGTTTGTGAGTTTGTAGACATCAATCCTATTAACAAACTATCACAGAACCAATTGCAATGTCTTGGATTAGTGATTGATAGTTGGTTCAATAATTCAAACAGGGAGTTTTGGTCCCAGGCCTGCAGACAAAATTGGTTTCTAACTCCTCTACTCAATCATCAGTCTGCAAACAATTTTTCTTGGACAGTTTCTTGTGAGGGAAGTTGGATTAGATGGTAAAGATGAGTGGTGATGTCAGCTAATCTATTATAATTTTTTGTGACTGCTTCGTCTTTGCCTGTGGGTCCCCGTATTTATGGAGAATACATTTTCTTTTAGTTATTAGATTATAAACTGGTTGGCATATCAGTATAACAAAAGGATCAATGGAAAAGTTTGATGACTTCATTCCCCAGTCTCTTACTAGCACCTCACAAGCAATCATATTATAGATAGTAGTGTTTAGTATGAAAGAGTAACAAAATATATCACTAAATTTTAGCCAAGATACAAGTCAGCTGGTTTAACTCCTTTGTAATGTCCTAGCAATGAGTAGGAGGGTGCTCCTTGTATCACCCAATCCTAATAGTTGATACCTCATTATGTTATGACTTCAAACCCAGACAATTCCAGATGCCAATTCAATTATTGTAATAAAATAATTCTTGTTTCTCCAACAGTCCACCAGACTCCAAGGTACTTCTTCTATGTTAGTAAAATCAAAATTATCTAGTTTGGCCTTTTCAAGATAATTCCTATGCCAGCTGACACCAGGTATAGATTCTGATACTTGAAAAATCCACAAAAGTAACTGTTACATTCCTGTGCTGCAACTGCATAAAAGTTTTACTGACCTGCATTCTTTTGAATTTAAAAGATTCTTTCTCCAAGGCAGCAGTTTTTTCAGCAACAGCTACTTGAGCCTCTTTTAATTGTGATTGATACTTGTCTAAACGGAGTTTTAGATCTGCAGCTGCCTGTGCACTCTCCACAGCCTTTCGTTTATGCATTTCCATTGCTTGTTGCCGCAGGCTAACAGAAAAACATTTTAAAGAATTTCAGTTCTATCATATTACATTCTATTTTGACATTTATTTTTAACATTTAAAATACTGTAACCAATGAACAGAATTTAAATTTGAAATCAAATTTGACTTCATAGAAATTAAATTATTTAAACTAATATTCAAGTTTTTGTAGAACTTCATGCAAAAAGATAAAAAACAGTAATAAAAACACATGATTTAATATAAATTGTCATATTAATAAATAGGAGACTTGGGCTTGTATATTCTGTAATTAACATTGATGCTACATTGTAATTGACTGTATTTTTATAGTTTATTTTTAACTTAGTTGAAATATTTAATTTTAGTTAATCAATAATTAGCTTTCATTTTTATAAAGCATTCAAATATTTTTGTGTTCTGTTTAATAAAACATGCTTAAATTGCTGCCTAATAGATATTATTAGGAGATATATGTTATACATAAATGTTGTCATGAACTGACATTTTCCTACCAAGCAATATAAATAATATTAATATTACAAATCGTAGTGATTACAGCAAAAGCAAGAATGTAAATAAATGCTACCAAACCAGTATAAAATGTTTACATTATTAATTTTATTTACTTTAGTTTTAGACTCCCTATAATAGCTGACCTATAAGCCAACATAATAATAACTTTGCAACAATTGAATGTATTATTTATATACAATATATATATATTTTTAGATAAGTTTAGTTAAAATGTTAGTGAAAGTTCTGTTAAGCATATTTTAATTTATTTTTCTTTATTTTTTCTGGTTTCTTTACACTACATACTTAAATAAAAAATTGTCCAATGTCTGAGTATTTTCAGTTTTCATATGACATTATGAAAGAGTTTTTATTTTTCTGCTCTATCAGTTACATCATTTTCAAATATTGCTTCTTTGAAAACTGTGTGTATGTCTGTGTGTTTTAAATATATTAAGTATGTTCGTAAATTTTATAACATTTTATTGATGCTGGGTTGGTTGTTTTTTATGCTTAATGCTTGTAGTGCTTTTAGTCTTTTTTTATATTATGTGATATAATACTTTTGTGTTATTGGTAAAGATTTAGTGGATTTATTGTTATGATTTTTGTTATGTTGCTTGGTGATATTTGATTTAATTGAACTATTATCAGATAAATAGCATGTTAATTAGCATGATAATGCAGTGATTATGTAACCAATGTACATGTTTGAAATATTAGTGAAACATTCTCCAAATGGGTAAACAAATTTATAGACAGCATTGGTTTGTTGAAATTTTGATTTTTTCGTTTTATCATTGATGGTAATCATGTTGGACCGGGTTTATTTTTTAAAAGTCATTATTAATATGTGTCTATATTAGGCTTCTTATAATTATTTCATCTAGTTTGTGCTTGGTTTCTGTAGAATAGTTTAATAGTGTTGTTTTGTATTATATATTTTTTTTTATTATTGTTTGTTTTTATTTTTTCTCAGATTAGTTTAATTTATTAACCATGTAGTTAGGGTAATTATTATTCATAATTAATATTTATTTTATGTTGTTGAGTTTGTTAAGAGATATCTTGCATGTAGGGTATATCAAGTGTGTTTTATTTATTAGATTACTTATGATGACTAATTTGTATCTGTGTGGGCATTCACTGTTATAGTTATGTAAACATGTATTTGATTTGACTGTTTTATTTTTTTTGTGATGTCAACAAACACTCGTTGCTACTTTTGTAATGTCAACAAATACTTTTGAAATGTTTGTTGTAGTAGAGACTTTGTAATCGCAGATACAACTATAGTAACACCATTGAACAATACTGGTGTCAGACGTTTTCCAATAACACTCACACACTAACAGTACTTGCTCTATAATACTTGCTCAAAAAGTAACCACCAAATAGTGATCTGTATAGTGATCACTTAAACGCCACGCTAATTCCCACATATACATTTCCTTTACCATCATGTGATCTACTTATTCAAAATGGGATCGCCTGTGTTTGCTCTCTGGTGATCCGTGTTCAAACGCAAGTGTCAGCAGTAACACTTTATTTGTGTATAACACCTCCCCTTTGAGATGACGTCCTCTGGAGTCTATACTTCTTCAGCTTTGGTTCAATAGTTAGAAATTCTGTTGGCATTCTTTTTCTTTTGCCATAATCCCTTGGTTCAACAATTTCTGATGGCATGGGTACATTAAATGTGTCATAGAGAATTTCTATTGGTACCTCTTTTTGGGGATTTTTTAAATCAGTGAATCTATGTTTTACCTGATTAAGGTGTTGCTTATGTTCCCACCTTTGTCCCTGTACTATGTATGTCATTTTGCCGATCCGTTGTTTTTATATCGCCAGCTTCCCAGAATTCCTTTCCATGCTGATACATCTTAGAAAAATACCTTATCTCCAGATTTGAAGTATCTACTTCTATTGTTATTTCTTGATGTGTCTTGCCTTGTGTTCTGGTAATAACTTATTGAAAATGGACTTATTTAATCTTCCTGCTGAACATCAACTTTACAGGCGACATTCCACACACAATGTTCAGGTTTGGTGTTATTCTGTAAACACTCAGAAATTGCTGAATCATTACTTCATCTAACTCCTCTCCCTCTGATTTTTTAGTGCTCTTTTAAATGTATTGACACACCATTCTGCCTATCCATTTGATCTTGGGTGATAAGGGGCAGTTGTAATATGTCCTATTGCTAATGATTTGCAAAAAAAACTTAAATTCACTAGATGTGAATTGAGTCTCGTTATCTGAAACAACAGAGTCAGGAACACTGAACCTTGCAAAAATCTTGTGTAGGAAATTTATCATTACATTATCTCCTACATTTTAATATTTCTGGCAATTTAGTATAACTATCGACTACCACTAGATAGCATGCTCCATTTAACAGTCCTGCAAAGTCTATTATGTATTCTGGATCATGGCATATTTGTTTTTGGCCAAGGTTGAATTTTGATAGTTGGTGACTTTGCTGCCAGAGCACAACCTTTGCATGATTTCACTAAATTTTTGATATCTTGATCCATTTTTGGCCAATAAGTATAACACCTAATTAAGGATTTCATTTTAGAAATTTCTTTTAACATATGTCTTTGTAATGATGCTGATATCACCACTCTCTCTCTGTGCATCATTACACAATGAAAATGTATTATTTCCAATAATATTTTTTCCTTTAGATCTTAATTTCTCCTTCATTTTCATTATAAAATCGTCTTTTTCCACCTTGATTTTATTTCCTCCAAATGTTATGGGCAGTTCTCTTACAGTATTGTATAATATGTTATTAATTTCATTTTTGGCCCTTATTGCCACAATTACTGTGTCTTCAAGTGGTTTGCAGAATCTTGGTATTAGTCTAGACAATCCATCTGCATGATTTAATTTTTTGAATGATAGAAACTCCATTTTATAATTATAATAGGATAGTTCCCAGCACTGCACACTATTCGTTGTATGTGTGAGAATATATCCTCTTTCTTCTTTCAGCTTCAATTAATGATCTTGAAGCATGAGGTATTGGTTTAGTTGTTCTGTCCATTATCACTGCTCTGATGCCCGAATCACTTGCATGTGCATCTGTTGCAACTACAATCTTCAATTTAGGATCAAAATGAGTTAGTGACAAATCCAATGTTAAGACTTTCTTGATTTCTTTGAAAGCACTTTGACATTTATCTGGCCAATTCCATTTCACATCTATCTTCAGCAGGTTATTCAAACGTGCTCTTAATTCATACATATTAAGTATGATAGTAGTTAGCAAACTCTAAAAATGCTTGTAACTGTTACATTTGTTGGAGCGGGCATGTCCTTTATTGTGCTCACCCTTAAAGGATTCAGTCATCTACGGTTTTCATCAACAATTTATCCTAAATATTTAAGTCTGGTTATAAACAATTCACATTTCCCTTCCCTAATCTTAAAACCATATTTTTTGAATCTCTCAAATACTTTCTTTACTTCTTCTGCATGTTGCTTTCGGATCTTACTTTTAATAAGTATATCATCCAAATAAGCTTGACAACAATCCATTGGTGTCCATTATCTGTTGGAATATTCTTGGTGCTACGTTTATACCGAAAGGAAGTCAGTTGAATTTGTACAACCCTCTATGAGTGTTAATTGTTAATAATTTTGAGCAAAAAGAAAAAGAAACGTTAGAGTAGAATTCACCCAGTTCAATCTCTTTCCTGAGACGTCATATACAACTTTATCAGACATCAATAAACTGGGTTTATCCATTTTCTCCATGTCTGTTCATTTATGTTAATGATATCAGATCCTGTATCTAGTTGCAATTTTATTTTTACATCATTAATTTGCACAAAAACAAAGTTCCTCTCGAGATGTCTTGTTAATTTCCCTTTTAGGCTTCTTATCGTTACTCCATGTATTTATCATGTTCACATACATTTTATTTTTCCTCCATTTTTTGTATCTGTAACATGTACTTTTGTGTCTTAAACTCCCACGTTCATAATAATTTTTGTTCTTGAAGAAACAATGACTTTTAAAATATTTACCTCCACAACCGTGGCAAGTATTAGGTATTGAGGGGAGTGGTTATAGTCTTTTTTTTACTGTTCTGTTAGGAGTTGAAAAACGTTTGCAGTTATTTTCTCTTTGGTCGGACACTCTGTACCTGTGAATTATTTTTTTCCTCAATCCTTGCCATATCAAGTTTCAAATTCACAATACATTGACACTCTTCCTCTATTCTCTGGAGAGTCAATTTGTGATCCATTTCTAATTTAACAAGTATCCTGGATCTTATTTCTGTGTCTTTCCTTATTAGAAGCTAAACCCTGTATGAATATCAGGCATTTAAATAAATCAGGAATTAATTCATTTAACTTGAACTTTTCACATTCTCAATTCACGACTCCTGCATAAGTGACAAAATTTTCATTGTCAGACTTTACTAAGTTAAGACATTGCCATTGTGTATTAAATAATGAACTCCTATCACCAAAAATGTTTGATAGTATTAGAACAGTCTCATCAAAATTTATCTATCCTGGTTTTTTCAGCAAAATATAATTTACATATAATTTACATGCTCAGGAGACAATTTCCTTAATAATAACCAAACTTTCTTTTTATCATTCCAACACAAACAATCCCTTTTGAATGGTCCCTTTGTATCTTCTATAAGCTGGAAAAGTTACCCCTTTATCTGGATGGTACACAAATTCACTGACTGAATTAGCAACAGCATCTGGAGTGAATGAATTTGAAGTTTTCCTTCCATTGTTTTGGAAAACTATTTAAAAAACTTCTGTTGTTATAGTTGTAATTGTAATTGCTGTTTATGTTATTGTTGCTGCAACAGTTGAACCATGATAGCTTTTGTTCCACTCCGCTGTACAATGCTGAATATTTTTCAGATTAATTTTTTCCTCATGCGAAACAAACCTTGTGTAAGTTCAAGGAATCCTTGTTGCCACTTTTGTGATGTCAACAAACACTCATTACCACTTTTGTAATAGTGATCTGAATAGTAATCTGTATAGTGATCACTTAGACGCCATGATAATTTCCATATATGCATTTCCTTTAATATCACATGATCTACTTGTTCAAAAATGGGATCACGTGTTTGCTCTCTGGTGATCTGTGTTCAAACTCCAGTGTTGACAACAACACTTTATTCCTATATAACATTTATATATAAATAGGGGTTTTAAAGTATGTCTAAAATGGTTTAAGTTCTTTATTTTTCTTGTGTTCTTATAATTTTCTTAAAAATTATGTAGAAATTGTCCAAATGTTCTGTGTGTCTGAGAACTTTTGGCTAAACTTTTAATCATTATCAAAGATTTTATTTTTACTTTTAGCTGAATGTATGGATCGTATGGATTATTTTATTCTAGTAATGTTGATATGATGTAAAATAATGCTATAATTTATGCTGATGATTTAGAAATTCTTTCAAATATTCAGAAAATGTTCATGTGTACATCAGCACTAAACAACAATAATCACAAACATTGAAGCATATTTGTCATTAAATTAGAAGCATTTGCTGTAAGTAGCATATTTATGGTTGACTAAAATATAAAATTTAGAAAAATAAGAGTTGAATTATTAATATTTTGTCTTAGTTAACAAGATTGTAGTTATTAGCTAAAACCAATCAATATTTAATTAAAATCAAGAACAGATTAAATACATAATCTGCTGTGGCCAAAAGATAATGTTCAAAGCTGATATAGCATGTTTTAATATTCTGTACAATAATAACAATTGTTTACTTCAAGAACTTAATGTAACAGGTTAAGTAATTATTTACATTCAGACTAATCTCCTCATCTTTGTTATTTTAGTCATTGCACTCTCCAGCCTTCTTCAAGTGTGTGATGCACAGTAGATTAAAGCATTGTTTTGTAGACTTGGTTGCATAGTAATTATGAGTTGAATTCCTAGGCTGGGTAGTACAGACTTGGAAAAAGAGCAAGTAATAACTGAGGACTACTAAATAAGCACAAAATATCTGTAAACACGGAGAGGGGAATGAGGAAAACATACCCATGTAAATTAAATAGAGGCTTCAGTTTGAAATTCTTTGAAAGTTAGATTGACATACGCTTGAAGAATACCAGAGAGTTTAATGGCTAAAACATTGTGATAATAATAACAAAGATGATGATTTTAATCCCAAAGTAAATAATGATAACTTCTCATCCCAGAAATTCACACAGAAGGTTAAGTGATGTTTATGTGGTGCAACTTACCTGAGTTCTTTTTCCACTGTAGCTAAATTATTTTGTAATAGGCGTTCCTTTTCTTCCAATTTGCGAACAACTTGATTCTGAGCCTCTACCTGGCTGTGAAGAGTACTCACTTGCTCTGCAGAACTTTCTTTCTCTTCTCGCAAAAGTTTATGAATTTGATTAGATTTTATTCTCTAAAAGAAACATCAATGAAAAAGTACTTTAAAATTAGGTCACTTGAAAAAATTTTTTAAAAAGTTATTAGATATAATTTGAATAGAAATCTACTTTGAAATATCTTATCCTATCTTATAAAGTGGAATTGCATTGTTTTAATTATTAATTTCTGTGGGTTTGGGCAATTGTAATAATTCTGAATCTCAAATAGGCAAAAATAGTTTTTAAATTATTATACAGCAACTTGATATAAATATTTGTCAGATAGCATAACTTATTGACTACCAACAACTTAATAAGAATATTATTTTAGAACCACAGACATTATTTTCCCTTTTATTTATGCATCAAAAAAGAAATGCTAACCTCTGACATTAATTTGAAATTGGCATCATCTTTTTCTTTTAACTGTTGTAATAATCTCATATTTTGTTCTTGCATGTCTTCAAATGCTTGACCCGTGACATCCATTTCACTTAAAAGAGCTTCTTCCCGCTGTAAAAAAAAAATTCATTTTTAAAATAGAGAAAAAGTTGACATGTCCATATAGGAATAAATTTAAATGAAAAATTCCAACCAATTTGTACTGAGCATTTAAAAATCAAATTTTTTTTACTGCATCTCAAGATATACAATAGGATCTGTCTATATTTCTGAGATGAGGTGTTATGTACACTATTTACATTATTTGGACTATTGTCCTCATCTTTGTTGCCATATTTATATGCTCCGGCCTTCTTCAGGTGGTTAGAATGTCGAACTGAATCCTTTATTTCGCTCACTGGAGTAGACTGTTCTATTTCCTTGTGCCATGTCTAATGGATGTCAGTTTTCAGTTATCAGGATGAGGGCTTAGCAATGGGCTTGTCATTATCACCAGCAATGGTGAATATATACATGGAATACTTTGAGGAAATGGCATTAGGATCTATATCTCTAAAGCCAACTCTATCGTTAAAGTACGTAGACGACACTTTCATACTCTGGCCATACCAAGAAGATGTTCAGGTTCTACTGGACCATGTGAACTAAATAAAACCTTCGATACAGTTCATGATGAAGAAAGAGAGTAACAGCATACTTCCATTCCTGGATGTTCTAATATCTCAAACAGAGCATGAGTTCAAGACACCTCTATACCGTAAACCGACATTCACCAGACAGTACCTCAATTTCAACTCCCACCATCCATACAGCGTAAAGAAAGGGATCGTCTGTTGCTTACAACACCGAGCAAAAGTCATAAGTGGCAACCCAGAGACATTAGATAAAGAATTGGTCAGTATAAGTAGTACCCTACAACATAACAACTACCCAGGGTACATGGCAGTAGCTCAAAAAAACCGGGATAGGCAGCTACAAGAGGAGGACAACAACAACACTCCGAGAAAACAGTCTGCCTGCCTTATGTGAAGGGGGTTATCAGAGAAAATACAAAGGATCTGCGGTCCATATAACATTAGGACAACTTTCAAAAGCTGGACGACACTTCACAGATATCTCTCCTGAGGAAGATCTCCCATAGAGGAGAACATGACTAAAGACTGTGTGTACGCTATCCCGTGCAGCTGCGGAAAGGAATATAAAGGGGAGACAGGCTTCAAGAACACCAGAAAGCTGTAACATGAGGAGAAGTGGAAAAATCAGGCATGGCTGACCACATTTGGAGAGAAAAGGGAGATCACTGCCCTCCATGGGGTCAGGTTGAAATCAAATACAAAGAACATCATTGGAAAATTTGTAAACTTAAGAAATCAGCATATATGCCAGGCCACAAAAATCTCCTCAGCCTACCAAGCATAGAAATGAATACAATATGGGAACCAGTAATAAGGAGTGCCAGAGAAAAGCAATAATAACAATGAAAATTGCAATATGAGCTCTGGTAAAAAAAACATCCAATGATAACAGCAAAAATTACAATATGAGCACTGATAAAAAATGGTTGCTGAAGACATTAGATTTATAATACTCAGAAATTCATACACAGATGCCCTCAAGGACACGTGGCACAGTAGATAAAGGTGTTAGTTAGATTCAGTGACAGGATCCAAAGAGTGTGAGTTCAATTCAATGGTTAAGGCAGCAGAGAACTTGGAATTAACAGAAGATAACTGACATCCATTAGACATGGCACGAGGAAATAGAACAGTCTATTCCAGCAAGTGAAATAAAGAGTTCGGTTCGACCTTCCAACCACCTGAAGAAGGCCACAGCACACAACGGCCGAAACATTGTGATAAATATGGCAACAATGATGAGGACAATAGTCCGAATAATGTAAATAATATACAATAGGATAATAAAACCTACTATATAAAATTTAAACAAACAACCACACATTAGACTTTAGGGGTGGAAATCAGCTTAAAATAATTTTTTTTTTTTTTTTTTATTACTTGCCTGTTTTTGGGATGCCAAATTTTTCTGCAGTTCTGTTATCGTTTCTTCTAATTTTTTAATTTTTCGTATTGCATCTTCATCGGCTAATTTTCGTCGTTCTTTGCGTTCCGTTTCTTGCATTTTGCGAATATGAAATTTAAGATCTTCTACTTCTTGACGTGCCTTCTTTTCTGCAGACATCAACTGAAAGAAGAAACAAAAAAAAAAAAAAAAAAAAAAAAAATATGATTATGGGGAAAGAAATCTCTCATTAAAGAATTACTAACAAAATAAAATTTTGTGAAAAAAAAAATAGTGTATCAAAAATTTAATTTCTTTTTTTCTCTCACTTATACAGGTCTTTGAATTAACCTTTAACCCTCTGCATTATTAATATTACTTCCCTTTCCATTGCATTCTTTTTTTTCAAGACCTCAATTGCAGTATCCTTACTGTTAATATAATTGTTTTCAGTTGCCATAGCAGGATATGATAACACAACTAAGAAATTCAAAAACACCATTCCTTAGAGATTAGAGTCACCTTCAGTGGCAGGATAAACTTTTTGTACAGCAAATGAAGTTACATACAGATTGATAAAGATTAAATAAAAAATTGAAAATTTACCTGAACTTTATCTCTGTTCTCTTTTGATAAACTCTTGTACATATCTAGTAACAGCTTTATGTCTTTTTGACTGTCTTGATTTTTTCTTAAAAAAATAAAAACAAAACAATTAGTATACCATTCACATATTTTAAACACAGTAAAACAGTTTATCTGGATGCTTTCTAATATTAAAATCACATAATGAAAAGATTTTAGTTACTTGTGACTTATTTATAAAAATTCTATATTAAAAACAAAAAATATCAAAACTATATTTAATCTAGAAATAAAATATTCTTAATTTGTAGCATAGGTAACATCAAGCCTACAAAATAAGCATGTAATTGTGATTATATGATCTTTTAACAAATGTTTAATATTAATCACCTGTTCTTGTATTTGTGTTCATGTTTGAAAGGTTGACTTAGGAGAATGAAAGTAAAAAATGTATAAACTCTATAAATAAAACATTTACAACCAAGAATGACATTATTTATATCCAAATAAATAAAAAAAGAAAAATATCAAAGATTAAAGTAAGCAAAAAAACCTTGGAAGGAGAACAAATATTAATAAATATATTTAAATACTTACTTTAATTGTGCTCGTAGATCTTTAATAGTGTCTGATTCAGACCTGCCTTTATCTCTACTTTCTACATCTTTATCTTCTTCTTCTATTTTCTTTACTATAATTGGTTCACACTCTTGTTTGGGTGCAATATACACAGTATCAGAAGCATTAGCTGAGACTGTTGCTGAAGATTCTTCTTTGTTTGCATCTTGAGAAACACCATCAGATTTGAGCTAAAAGATTTAAAAAATTATAATCCTATAAATTTATCAAACAAAACATAACAAAATTTACTTGATAATATATACATACTTGGTTGAAAATAGATTAAACATAATCTAGAAAAATAGACTGAAATTTTAGTCAGAAAGTAAGTTTGAAATTATTCATCATTTCACCTTGTAGTACAAACATTTTAATCCCTAAAACAGTTAGTGTTAAGGTTAAAAAAAGAAAGAAAAGAAAACCATTTAGAATTCTGATTAATAACTACACTAAAATATGTCTGCCTTTTTCCATAGGTTTATATACCTTTTAAGGTACACACAGTGAATAAATGGAAAAAACGTTTACACTATTTTCCTTAGTGTAAAGAGGAAAGTAAGAATATAAAAGAAATTTTAGAATATGTAAGACATTTGAAAATGTGAAGCTAATTGTAAAAGAAGCTTTAGAATATTTTAGATTGTTAGCAAAAGCAATGGATTTTATGGTGTGGCTTTGGAAAGAAAAATAGTTTCATGATTGCTAAAAATATTACCTTATTTAATTCATTATTAGCTTCTTTAAGTCGCCGCTTGTATCTTGCTGCTTCTCCTTTCAGTTGTTGGTTATGATTTTGTAAACTTTGTATCAAATGCCGCATTTCTCGGTGAATGGGACCTGTTAATAATTATTTACAAATCATTATTTAACACTGAAAAATATTAGTAAGATTCATATTTCCAATAAGACTATTCCAGTTTAATCATGTCATATAAACTATGTACATAAATATTTTTTTTTTTAATAAGAACTACTTTGGCTCTCATCACTTCACTGATGGCAAGATGATCAAATTTCAAATTCAAATTGTTTGCCCATTACATATATTAGAGAAATATATTCAGTTTACATACAGAAAGATCCTCAAAATGACTTTAAAGGGATTAACATTTGAAGCTTAATCTCTTTTACTGTTACTCAGGCAGACAGGGAAATTAGCCCTCATAATATATATATATATATATATATATATATCCATTTTAATTTCATTCAAATTTGTATGTTTGCAAGTGCCATTTATATTTTATTTCAATGATAGACCAAACAATTTTTCTATGAAATTAAAAAAAAAATTTTTTTATATAATTTTATTTATTACCAAATAATTTCAGAAATGTTCAATAAAATCTTATAAATATTGGCTTGGCAACTAAGTTCCTGCTGTTTTTTTAAATTTTGGAATTTATTTTTTTCTGAGAATTCTATTTTGGAATCATTTTGTAATCTATTTTGTTTTTTTCAAGTTAATTTAAGTTAATTTTTGTTTATTTTCAGATGATTAAAATGGAATGTCAAGTTAAGAAAAATGAGCATTTTCGACACCTTTTTGCTTTTAATCAAGGTTCTAAGACTGCAAAAGCTGTTTGCAACATTTGTGCTGTGCGTGAAGAGTATGCCATAGCCGAAAGACTGCTTGTGATCGGTATGCCAAGTTCAAAAATGGAAATTTTGACTTCAAAGACACGCCTCATTCTTGCCGTCCAGTTGAGTTTAATGAAGAGCAATTAAACCAACTTTTGTACAAAAATTCTCATCAAATGACAAGAGCAGAGAAAATGGAATGCTCCCACACTGCTATAGAGAAGCATCTTCACTCAATGGGAAAGGTTCAGAAGTGTGGAGCATGGGTTCTGCATGCTTTAAGTGACAACAAAAATCAATGAGCCATAATCTCCACTGGTTTGCTTGCTCGTCACTGCTCAACTCATGGACATGAGCAATGATTTCTTTACCGAATCACTACTAGCAACGAAAAATGGTGCCTGTAAATAAATATGAAGCAGTGCAAGGAATGGCTTAGCCCCAGTAAACAAGCGACAATGTGCGTGAAACAAGATCTTCATCAGCGTAAAATGATGTTGTCCATATGGTTGCACTGGGAAGGGATTATCCAATATGAATTGCTTGAACGAAATCAAATGGTCAATGCAGAATGTTCAACAGATGGAACGACTCACAGTTATTCAAGAGAAAAGTCCTAATCGGAAAACAGAGTTCTTTTGCTGCATGACAACACCTGCCCTCATATTGCTAATATGACTAAGGAAGCCATTCAAACACATGGCTGGGAAGTGCTGCCACACCCACTGTACTCTCCTGATTTGGCACCAACAGATTTCCACCTCTTTAGATCTCTTTCAAATGCTATGCATGGAGTTTTGTTCAATGCTGATGCAGAATTGAGAGCTTGATTGGATGAATTTTCCAAGTCGAAACAGGGTGATTTCTATCAAAGAGGTATTGAAAATCTTGTTGAACGTTGGGAACAAGTTGTAAACAACAAGGGAGAATACATTATTGATTCATTAGTTATTATTTTTTATTAAACCTTTTAAAAATTTAAATTTATAAAAATGGCGGGAACTTAGTTGCCAACCCAATATTTCATGTTTTAGTTTTTAAAAAAATGAATGCATTTTTTGCTAGGAAATTATTTGTATCATTTTTACCTGAATTAACTTTTTGTAAAATAAAAATAGATAATGTTATTTGAATAAATCTAACATCGAATTATATAGTTTGTGATTTTGATAAAAATATTAATGAAAAAGTTTATTCTTAATAAGCCAATAATTTATTAAAAATGATCTGTTTTGTATGTTAAAGTTAATCTATAAATAAAATATTTGATATAGCAAACATATTTAGTAGATTTTTGCATACAAAATGTGCAAATAGGAAAACATACCAGTCTGTTCATTTGCAGCTAATGTTTGTTCAAATTCAATCCTCAACATTTCATATTCCTTTCGAACTTGAGCTAATGTATCTTCCAATTGTATTAATTCTGTACGTAGCTTCTTCTGACATGTTAATTCATCACTCTGAAAAGAAACAAGACACCATCATCATTATCATCATGATAAATGATTTGAATAAAATTTTCAAAAACTCCTTTATTTGTGACAAAAATGAAGTACCTCCATCTGTTCTATATGCCGCAGATGTGCATTTTTACTATTTTGCAACAGGCTTCGTGTTTCTTCATGCTGTGTCTTGAGCTGCATGCTTTCATTAAAGAGAACAGAGAACTGGGACTGAAGACATTTGTATTCACTACTTTCCATTATAACATGTTCTGGAAGATGTTGCAACTGAAACATAAATTAAGTATATCTTTAAAAGAGGAAACATTTAATGCATTAAAACAATTCATTCAATTTTATAAAGATCCAAACTTAGGCATAATTAATATTGATAGAAAGACTCGTGAAAATTTAATGGTTTTCCAATTTTTTTCATATTCTAGTTAATCTTAATTCTTAAGTTAATGATTGAATAAGCTCATGGTGAGTTCTATGGCAATAATATATCTGTAGGAATTCTCTTATTGCATTGTTAAATATTTGATCTTCACAACTTTAACAAAATATTGCAATAACAATCATAAATGGTTATTATAAGAAGTGGGTAGAAATGAAGATTTGAAATTGACAATTTTTTGAAACAGACTTTAAACACTTCTTTCATTCATGTCTTGTTTTTCTATGTATGCAATCAAAACAGAATAGTCCATTATTTATGAGGTATTGGCAGGAGACATAAACACTTCTATCTTCCCTGCTTTTTCTCACTGAAACTAAATAGTGTCTTTTCCCCCACTTTCCATGATCAAAATGGAATAGACCATTATTTATGAGGCATTGGCAGATGTTAAACACTTCTATCTTACCTTCTTTTTAGCTAAATACCCATCTTCCAAACATTTTTCTTGATAATAATTTTAAAACTAATTCAGCAGGTGATGTTATTTTATTTACACTAAGTAGTTTTTTGGTGATTGCCTTACTTGTTTTCCATTGTTCAATACTGAGCATCTGAAAAATAGCACTTTTATCATGTTCTCACTTGATCAAAGTGTAGTATCTGTTCTTAACAGTTGGGTCTCTCTCATTTTCTAATTGAAATCAAGTAATGCCTTTTCTCCTCTTTCCACATGATCAAAGTGCAGAATAGTTCATTATTTATGAGGTAGCAGTGTGTAATGGCATGCAAATTAATAAAGGAAGGGAGGGACAAAATGATACTACTTAAATAGACTGGTCCACTCATAAAAAAAAAAAAAAAGGAAATATTTTGGTGAATAATTCTTGTACATTAGTATTCATTAGACCTTCCACAAGGCACAACATTTGTCTTAATCAAATAATATATTTTTATCATATTAGAAGGGTGGTCTTGTTCATAATATTGATTCAGTGTAAGATCAATCCCTGACTTTTTAAACAATTATTTGTGCTTAGCTGTTTATTTAAAAATGTCAAATTTGAAACTGTGCTTATGTCATTGATATCTGTGTATTTTTCATTTTAATTTTCTGAATTTTTTAAACTACACCCTAAATTTTCTTAAATTTCAAAGATTTTTGTTAAACAACTGCTTGTTTTTAATACATTGTTTGTCTTTAATAAAATAAACTTTCCTTTAAAATATTTATATATCTGCTTGTTGTTTAATCAAAAGTAAGTTTTTTTTGTAAAACATGTAAAAATATAAAATAAAAATTTGCCAGACAAACAATTGCTATTGCATGTTTCAAATATTTTAAAATAAAACACATGAAAATGTATATAACCATTTGTCCTCCATTTAAAGGAGCACAATTTCAAGCTAGACAAAGACAAACAAAAAAAAAAAACAAAAAAAAAAAAACAAAATAAAAAAACACTAAAATTTGAATATGTTGGGGAAAAACGTGTGTAAAATTAACTGAAAATTAAGTTGAAATTAAATAAAAAGGAATAAAATAGGAGGAATTCTAATTGATAAATAAAAATAAATTTAATTATTGCAATGAAAAGAAAAAAAGATGCTTTTTCATCTTTCTTAAAATAAAAAAGCATAATAGGCCAAAAATGTCATTTTCTTTCATCATCAGTACTAGAACTAATGAACAAACTTTTGACAACTTTTGTCAAAATGCATTTTGGAAGAAATTAGTTAAAACTAATGCCATTTAAAAAGAAAAACAGAAAAAATTTTTTTGTCAATATTTGAATTGAGTTAGACTTGTATGAAGACAGAACTTTATTTAAAATTAATATACAAGTTACATTTTACAATTTGTACTTAACTAATTTGAAAAGTTTTAATTACAAAACACAATTGTCAATTTTATATTTGATATATTTTGACAATAAAAAGCTATTAGTATTTTTGCAAAATATTATTTTTCTCAATACAACAGACATTATTATTCAGTAATTTACCTTTTATTTATAAAAATATGAATGGAGCAAATTCTGGATAATTTAATACTGAAAACATGTTACCAAGCTTTACATGCAACTATTATGATCATTTTATGTCTTGATATAGTAAATCAAATTATAATAGAATACTTACATCCATACGTAGTTGTTCTATTTCTTTTAAAGCTTCTTGGTGATCTTTGCTTAGCTTTTTCTAATTCATTCAGACGTGTTGTGGCAAATTCCTTTTGTTCTTCCAACTCAGCATTGATCTCATCAAACTTAAAAAAATAAAAAATAAAAATCTGGCTTAGAATGTAAAAATTATAAAAAAATCAATAGTGACTAACTTTTATTATTCAATATTTAACTAATAGTAGAGATGTACTTGATTTTCTTATAGTTTTAAAGAATCAGGTACATAATTTTATATGATTTCTTTCCCTGAGTTGAAATTATGGTAAGGTTTAGTCTAATGAACAACTACTTGATTGAATACTATTTACATTCAAAGTGATGTCTTCATCTTTGTTGTTAGTATCACATTTTAACAAGGTCTCTGGCTATTCCTTAGGGAAATTTGAAGTGAACCGTTTATTTAATCTACAAGAATAGATTATTTTCATTCCACTTTCCATGTCTAGTGATGTCTTACCATTGCTGCTTTTAATACTGCTCAGTTATTTCTAGCCATGTTTTTACTGAGTTTGTACTACTTGGCCCAGGGATTGAACTCACAACTGCTTTCACCAAATTCACAAAGGAATGCTTTAATCCACTAGGCTATTGCTTTGTGCCCAGTGAATTAAAGCATTGCTTTGTGAATTTGGTGGTATAGTAATTGTGAGTTCAATCCCTGAGCTGAGTAGTAGAGGCTCAGACTTTGTGAAAACAGGGCTGACAATAATTCTAAAATGAGGACAAGATTAGATATTCCTAGATATGAACAAGGAATGAAAACAAAAAGAGTTCAGTTCAAAATATATGTAACTTTGAATGTTATTTTTAGTAGATACTCATATTTGAGTAGATGCTCCGTTTATTTATTAAACACTATATTTTTGCTTACTGGCCTGAATATTTGAGAAATCATATTAAAGAGAAACATGCATTCTCTGGCAGTGTGTTCTTCAGTATTCAGGCTGGTAGATGAAAATAAATAAATGTACTGTTTAATAAATAAACAGTGTCTACTGAAATATGAGTACTCACTAAAAATAATATTTAACATAAGAAATCTGTTGGATTGATAAATAAAAATCCATTTAGAAATGTATATATGTATTTTTAGGTAGCATAACTTCATTTAAACATGTTCCATTGAATAATAGAGAAATATTATGTCTATTCATTTTTATAATAATCCTTTCTAGTTCTCTAATTAGCTTCTTAATGTTAAGCTGAAATTCATCAAGGAAGGAACTGTAGTTTTTCCATATCCAAGTACTTTTGATCTCATCCAAGATCATCATTGGGGTGAATTAAATAATATGCCTATATTATTCAATGATATATATATATATATATATATATATATATATATATATATATATATATATATATAAATTACTGCAAACATTATTTTTAGTTGGTATATCTGTTTGAGTTGCTATCCCCATTTTATTTTTTTTTTTTTTATTATTAAACAGTGAAATTGTTAACAACTGGCATAGATCAAAAACTCGTAATAAAGAAAACCTGTACTTCTGAAGAGGAATTGAATCCTTCCCCCCCTTAGGGAAACTACTTTTTCAGCCTCTACTAGTTAAGTTACAGAGCCAGTCTGACAAAGCATGGTTAGAATTGCCTAAGGAAAACATTTTTTTCTCATTGAGACTTCTACAAATCTAAATCTACTAGCTTCTGTTTTGTACCCAAAACATAAAACAGTAGGAATTTTTTAAAGTATTTTTTTATTCACCATTATTTCCTATTATTATTTTTAGTGGGGCCACGTGTTCTAGTTGTTATTCCTATTTTTTATTTTCTTAAACAGTGAAATTAACAATATTCGGCCTAAATTGAGAAGTCCTACTAAAGAAAAATTGTGCATTTGACAGGAATTAGAAAATGCATCATTTTTTACCTCAGGGAAACCACTTTTTTTTTTAGACAAAGTGTGTGTCTACCAGTTCAGCCACGGACAATTTGTTGGAACTTCTGTTTATCTGTCAGCTTCAGTTATGAACCAGAAATGTAAACAACAGGAATTTTTGCAATTATTTTTATCCAACATTATTTCTTATTACTATGAATATTATTTTTAATGGGGGCATGTCTTTGAGTTGGTATCCCCATTTTTTATTTTCTTAAACAGTGAAATTAATAACAATCAGCATAGATTTAGAGAAGACCTACTAAAGAAAAATCGGGTCTGCGATAAGAATTGAACCTTCATCACTTTTTCAGGCTAAAGTATACCTCTAAGTCAGTCTGACACAGCAGGGGGGTTAGAATTGCCTACCTAAAGCCTTCTCAAGTTAGGCTGGATGTTATTCATTTCACTATTTAAGAAAATAAAAACGTGGATAGCCACTAAAGCAAATGTAATCATTAAAAATAATGTCTATATTAAGAGGAAATAATGGCAGATAAAAAATCCTTTCAAAATTTACTATAAATATATGAATACACAATGATTAGATAAACATTTTGCTTATAGTAACACACACACATTGATTAGATATTCTACCTTTTGTCTATTGTTGTAAAAAAAACAAAAAAACAAAAGAATAAAAAAAAAAAAAAAAAAAAAAATGGAAATTCAACCAAAGAATAATTCATCATCAAAATATAAATCACAAAACCAAGAAGAAACAAAGATAAATGACAAATTTGACAGGAAACTAGATTTACTTTACCTTGTTTTTAGAAACACCTGAAATGGTGCGGCCACCCTCATGGACAACTGGATCTTCTTCATAGCTACGCAGTTTTTGTAAACAATCTGCAAGTCGTTTGTCTAATTTACGTGCTCGCTGATCAGCTTTGTCATAATCATATTCAAGATCATCCACTTTATTACGTAATTCAGCTATTTCAGTCTCAGCTGCTGTTACCTTGTCTTGCAATTCTGATACCTGTTATTAGAGTAAAAAAAAAAAAAGGAGCAAAACATTTCAATATATATATAAAAATATGTATTACACATATACATAACTAATATGGTGATAGACAAATCAACAGACATTTTCATTGGGGAAAAAAAAAAAAAGTAAAAAAAAAAACCCCAAAAAACAAATGCAAGTTTATTTAGTAGTTTAAACAATTCAAGAATATTTCATTATGCAAAATAACGTTAAACTTGTCATCAACAGATTTTTCATTTTTTACTGTTTCAGACATCATCAAATTTATCAGATCTGTTATTTTTTCATGTGGCATATCCAAAGAAATTGTATTCAAAACATAAAGCCAATATTCTTTAATAGAAAATTTCTGACCATTACTTATTTCATAATCCAATGTTAGACATATCTAACAGGGCATCATGCCAAAGAGATTGACTTGGCCAATATTTTTTGGATATCTCATACTCATATATTTTTCCCTGTATATTATAGTGCTTCATATTCTGTAAAATAGATACTAATTTTGTCTAACCATTGATAAGTAGCAGATAACCTTCCTACCCATAAACTGCATCTTGGGTAAGACTATAAACTACATCCAACAGCAAGGCCTCTGACCAGGTTTTGAGGAGCGGAGAACCACCCATTAATTGCTGATGTTCCCAGGTCTACCCTCACCCGGGGTGGTAGCACCTGTTAGGGTCCCAACTATGGGTAAATAGTTGGGCCCCAAACTGGGGTTAAAACACTATGTAAGTGTAAAAATAGGTTTTAATACCAGAAATACTTTGTAAAAAAAAAAAATTATTACCAGCAATAAAAATGTCAGCATTAAATAACCCATTGAGGTCGATATGCCATAAAACAAACCAAACCAATCCCACCCATAAAAAAAATTCTAAATTGCTCATTACACAATATTTGTTTCTTTTCTGAAATTTTAGCAAAAGAGGTTGCAGCTTAAAGAACAAAATTTAAGGAAAAGCATTTAAAGTCCATGTAGAATGCATTTTCTGAGCTTTTAGAATTTTCTTGAAGTTTATAAAACATCTACATAATTCATCTCTAACATTTTTATTTCTGTACTGAGCAAAATGAAGACAAGTGTTTAAAGTTTATGTAGAATACATTTTCTAAGTTTTTAGATTTTTCCCATTTTTTTTGTAAATAATATAGAATAGTTAAGAGACTCACTCTTAATATTATTTTGCAAGTTTATGTTTAGTGTTCAAATATGCCTTTGCTTAATTAGTTTTCAACTTCTAATCTCTTTCCATCCATTATTTGACCTTCTGTTAAAGATCTCCTTTACACATGCTTCTATCTAGTGAAGCATTACTATAAAACTTTAATCTGCTATTGCTTAGCTTCCATGGTATGTTTTTCCCCCAAATCAAAATATGTCTTTTATATTCAGTCTTGATTACCACCAAAATAAAATAACAAACAATTCTTAAAGAACTAACATAAACAGATATGCTCAAAGTTTTCTTAGTTTAAGGACTTTGAACATCTGAATCAACCTAATATACATACACATTTGCACACCTACATAATCATACACACACACTTCCTAAAGAGAGCACACGAGACTTCATCCTCTCGTCTACTTTTCCTTAAATAAGTCAACAATGCAAATCAGACACTTTCTTAACCACCTTACTGACCACCAATTTAGACTATTTCTTTCCAAACTAAATAATAACAATAGAGAACACAGTCAAAAATAACACATTTTCTACAAAAGCCAAATTCATATCAACTACAAAAGAGATGAATTTTCACTTAGAAATATCATAAAGAAATACACTACCCAAGGGTCTGTGAACTTTGAAGTGATCTGACTCAAGAATGACCTGGTTACAAAATAATGTGACCATCAGATGATTGACCATAAGTTAACTCCAGGCACCATTAGCCAGTCCTGCTGCAATCATGTGATCAGACCCTACTAAGGGTTGCTTGGATCTTTGGTCATCATGCAAACACATCATGATTTGTACCTGTATACCCAGCCAAAGATGAAAGGGAACCCCCATGATGAACTTTGGAGACAGCAAAAATCTAAAAAAAAGGATTCAGTTTCTTGTCTGACCAGCAGCAGATGAACATTGGCAAGTGAATTGTTCCAATTCTAAATGGACTGCCCATTGAGTGTGTAGAAACCTCCCTAACCACCTGATAGACCACCAAATTAGACTATTTCTCCCCAAAGTAAATAACAACAATAATGAACATACAGTCAACAATAACATAAATATTTTCTACAAAAACCAAATGCACATTAACTATAAACAAGATGAATATTCACTTAGAAATATTATAAAGAAATACACTACTCCAATTGACCAGAATAAAAAGATCAAAATTCTTCTCTACTACAAAAAATTCAAAACAGCTAACCTTATCCTCAGAAATAACAACACACCAACAAAGTCAAAATTACAATGAATGAACATTATTTATGAATTCAAATGCTCCTTAAGGAACTGTGTTTCTGATCAAACCAAATTCATAAATAATTACAGTCACACGACTACATGCCTATCTAGATGCCTTATGTTACACCTATTTGACCACAGCTCTATTAAAATCCATTTAAACACAAACTTACCAGACTCCATCTGAAACATAGTAGTAGAAAATACAAACATGTGAAAAAAAAAAAAAAAAAGTAATGGAAGCCAACACTTAATAATATTAACTATGAACACAGCCACAATGTGCTGTGTTCAGAAAATAAAACATCTCTATAACATTAAAAACATACACACAACGCAAACACCCAATTAAATTGAAAAAATAAAATCATCCTTGACAATGGCTAAAAGTATAGCTGAAAGCACTCTGAATTATAGAACATTTGGACAGTTTCTACACAAGAAAACACTTGCTCAAACATAAGAAAAATTAAATAAAAAGCTTAATCGCAGTATCTTGCCTGTCATCTTTAATGAAACATGCATAATGAAGGATTGCTGCCTAAATACACAATATATATATATATATATATATATATATATATATATATATATATATAGAGAGAGAGAGAGAGAGAGAGAGAGAATGAGTAAAAGTGCCATTCAAAGAATAAATCAATGAAGTTAATGTAATTAATGGTGAACTTACTTTGCTAACAGATTAAAAAAGGCATTAACTCATTGACCACTTACTGAACAACACGATCCTTGTTTTTATTAATTGTTCAATGGATTAGATGTTCAGTCCATATCACTTGCAAGTACTTTTGATAAAAACATTTACCATCCTCAGTCATTGATGATATTTTTTTTCCTCAATTTCAGGTAATTTTGGGTAAAATTCCAAGCCAAAAAGATGTTTTATTAAAAAGTGTGCTATTATTAAAAATTAAGATTTTTTTGAACATGCAGTAATGTGACAATACACACACACACAATATATATATGTATATATACAAGTGGTAAAGAAATATAAGAAATAGTAATTTGAATGAATTCATATGCCTGTTGCCTTCTTCCTACCCTAACTGATCTAACATTTGCACTCCTACCTTTTTCATTAGAAGTTAACTCTTATGTAATTCATATAGATATAAAAAAAACTACTACAAAAATTGTATCAACAAACCTTTAAGCTATTCTCATGATCACGTTGATGCAACTGAGTTATAAGCTGATGTAATTTTTTGTTTTGCTGTAGTGTATCAGCCAAGTCATCTCGTACTAGATCAGCCAGTGTAGCACTATTTCCAGTACCCAATTTCATATCAACTCCATCAAGATGAAGTTTTTTAATATCCTCCTCATTACCAACCCCAGTAGCATCTAGCAAACCAGTGGGGCTATCATCTGAAGGTTCTTTTTTAATATTATGTTCCAGGTACTCTTTTTTGATATCAATACCATCACCACAACCAGAATCTGAAATGAATAAAGATTAAATAATTTGCTTAATTAAAAAATAACAATAACACAATAACATAACAATATTTAAACAATAATTCTTTAACAATTATGAATTTGGACAGAATAAATATATAAAATTCCATTTTTTGAATAGAGTATGACACTACAATTAATTCAAGATTAATTATTCACGGAAATAATTGACAAAGTGTTTGATAAAAGATTTTCCTTTTTATAACATTGTCATTAATTTTGAAAAAGGAATACAGACAAAATATGAGAAAACAAGTCCTAAATACTGAAGAGACCAGAAAAAATTGGTACAAAACCAAATAGCAATCCTAAATATAACACACAAATGACATGATTGATTTTTTTGTAATGATTTTTAATCATGGGTTAAAAACATTGTGTCTCAGAAATTTTGTTCAGTATAACGAAAGTTATTGATGTATTACTGCATATGACATTTGTTTTATTTTTGGATGATATGCATACATTTAAAAATACATGTTTAACTGTCCAGAGGATAAATATATTTTAATGAAGAAGTAAGATTATTTATGTCAAGGAGCCCATGGTAAAATAGGGGAAAAGTTAACAAAAGAAATGAACGAAAGATTGATGAAGGTTATAGAATGTCAAGAATCTCATGTTGAAATGGTAGAAATGTTAACAAAAGCAATAAACTACTTGATGAAGGTTATAGAACATGAAGAATCTCATGTCAAAATAGTAGAAAAGTCAACAAAAGCATGAATGAAAGATTGATGAAGTTTATAAAATGTATCGAATCTCATGTTGAAATAGTAAAATGTCAACAAAAGCAATGAATGAAAGATTTATAAAGATTATAGAATGTGATGAATCTCATTTCAAAATAGTAGAAACGTTAATAAAAGCAATGAATGAAAAATTCATGATGGTTATAGAATGTCAAGAATCCCCTGTTGAAATAGAAAAGTTAATAAAAAAAAAAAAAAAACTATGAATGAAATATTGAAGGTCAAGGAGGCCATATTAACATGTAAAATAATAAAATAATTTACTGAAGTATGTTGTATATTGTATTAAATACGTTTCTATCACCTATGTTTTGAATTTCTTTATAATTAAACATTTTTATTGCTCTTTGTTTGCAATATTAAACCTGATACCTGCAACCGAGACAAATTATTATCAATATTTTTAATAAAGATACTGTAAGATGTAACTCATGATATATAATTTATATCAATATAGGCATATCCTGAAAATGTTGATAACATTTCTTAGTTAATACCAATTTTATTTTGAAAACATGGACTTAATCAAGAAAGTCTGATAGAGTAAATAATAAAAGAATACCAACCATCATCTGTTTTTTCCTTTTTAATATCATCACTGCCATTCTGATTGCTAGTTGCTGCTGACTTATCATCATTAATGTTTTCTGACTCAGAAGAAAGGATTTGATCTCTCAGAACTTGTTGTAGCCGATCATTACGTTGTAAGAGACGATCAAATGCTTGTAATAATTTCCCAATAGCACGTTTCGAAAATTCTACACGTTGGCCCAACTTTTGCTCAATTTCTTGTTTGTCCCACGTTGATAAAAGTGTGAGGAATGCTGTAGTTTCTGGGCTTTCACCTGATTATAAAATTACAATTTAAACATTGTAAAATATTTTGATTAATTATTTAAACAATCAGTCACACTGATAAACTTAAAAAGAAAAACACATATGCAAAGTATTATTGAAAAAAGATAATAGCAATTCATAAAGTATTTTAAAGTGTCAAAGGAATTTTATCTTTAGTAAGAGTAAAAATGTGTAGAAATGGAGGGAGCTGTACCTATCTTCCAAGTACGGCTTGGCTCAAGCACTCACCAATGATACTATTTGGAAACACATAACTACCGACCCAAACAATTAAGCAAGCACAAATAATGATTTATATCCTTGTTTACTTAGTTAAAAGAGGGCCAAGAATTAAAATGTGCAGAAAAAGGATGAATTGTATTAGTTGTAAATCCACAAGTAACCTATTATTAAACAAGCACAAATAATTTTCTATATTGTTGATAAAGTTGTTTTTATAATGTATTTCTCAATATATTTTGCTTTTATTATCTGGTTATAATTTTACCAAAATGGATTTAAAATTAATGAAACATGAATTTGCAATGAACAATCAATTATGAAAATGTATAATAATAATTTTGCCCACTTCTAATCATCTGTTTATAAAGCCAATGTCATACTTTCATGATCAGAAAATGTTTGGCAGAATAAAACAAATATTCCCAGCCTAAAGATATAACTGTGCTGAACCAGCAAGTCTATGTTGCTTTTACCAAAACCATTCATGATATTGTTCACATTTGGATGCATGTGTCCTTATTAGATGGACAGTCATGACAGGTATATTGGGATTTGCATATTTCCACTCCAGCATCACTTTGTTAGCATGCTTCTCTTTCACTGAATAATAAAATATGCTCTTCTTAATATGAACGCTAAAAATATCAATTACAATTACTGATATTTAAAAATTTGACACACATTTCTATCATTTTTATACAAATGAGTGTACACAAGTATGCACACACATAAAAACATGTCTACCTTTCTGCATGTAGATATAGTCACTAAAAATCTTAATTGGAAAACTTACTCTCTGAGTCATCAGCTGTTTCAGCATCAAACCTTTGCAAAAGGACTCTGACATCTTCATCAAGCTGAAATATACAAAGTATTCATTATATTTTATTAGTAAATATAAAGATAAAATTATATTAGTAAGAGAAAGCAACATTTAAATAATTGCAATAAATAACATTTAGTAGCTTATGAAATGACTTACATGTAAGATAATTTATGAATGCAATACAAAGCTTTAACTTTTTCACTTTGATTATTGCAGATTAAAACAGCTGACCACTTATGTTTGTAAATGCAGGTAACTATGATAACCCACTCAATATTTAATCATAAATATAATTATAAAATGAATAGTTCTTTTTGATACTGGCTTTTTTTAAACAACAGTGACATTTTCTCTTAAATTTGTAAAAGTTTTGAATGTCTGAAAGAAATCATGTGGATATCCTCTCTTTAAATATAGAAATGATTCATGTAGTGTACTCTGACTGTAATAACATAAAATTTTAAGATTTTCAACTTATTAGAATAATGTTATGTGAAATTTTTAATGTGATGAAAATGAAGAAACAGAGAGAGAATGAGATATTTAGAAATTGGATTCAGTTCTCCACCATGACAATGTCAACATCCTCTTTCTTGAGTTACACATATTTTTAGGAAATTCTTTAGACATAGCAACAATTTTAAGATAGAATTCAGGGACCAATGAACAAATAAAAAATAACAATAAAATAACAAAAAAAAACAAAAAAAAAAAACAAAAAAAAAACAGATATCATCATCAGCAGCAGCAGTCCAGTCCCATGACTGTGTGCGATCAAAGTTAATTAAAAATAATGATTAAAGGTTAATTAAAATGACTTTTGATTAAATTGCCTAATGAAAGAAAAAAAAAAAGAATTCTCTATTAAAAAAAAATAAAGCCACAATTTTGTTTTAAATTAATTTTAACATGCAAATGCTTTAAATTATTATATACACTATTTCCTACTCATTTGCCACAATTTTGTAATTTTACAACAGAAATATCCTATTTCCTACCCATTTCAATATAAAAAATTTATACTAATTTCTACTTTTAGAACAAACACCAGATATCTAATTTTTTACATCTCTAGATATTTTAAAAACCTTTGAATTTTATAATCATTATCACCTGATTCCCTTGTTATTTATCTTACGTATCTGATTAATGTTTACCCTTTATTATATAAATTAATTGAAGCTAATGACTGAAATATATTTTGCAATTTAAATGAATAATGTATAGAAGGTATATAATAAAGATTATATCAACAATATAACATGAATAGTGTGTTAAATTCATTTTCTTCATAATTCTTTTACTATAAAATTTTGACATTACCACATGATCCCTATTAGCGTTTTCATAAAATATGATACATACTGTATTTCCTGAAATAGTTTTACTCTAAAATAATTCAAGTAGAACAAATTTCCTCTTCTTGAACCTCCAGCATGAAGTTGTGCCAAAGGTACTTTTTTTCCTTTTTAGGAATGTTCAGACTATAAGAAAGTCATGTCATAATTTCTTATATGGAAGCAAGGATAAGTACTAAGAACATTTTTACACAGCAATAAACTTCAGTTTGTAATTGAGAGTATTTAAAACAAAACTAATTTACAAAGTAAGGAAGAAAAAAAAAAAAAGTACAAAAAGGTACCTGGTTCCAGTAGCGGTTGACTATCACCAACATGGCATCATCATGCCGTTGTCTGTTCTCCAACTGCTCTATACGTCTTTGTAATTCTTCCTCAGCTAGACGTCGCTGATCGATTCTCTCACACAGCTTTTTATTCTGGAATGCCAGCACTTTGACATCGAGCTCTTCCTGAAATTATATTTGAAATAAAATTATATGGAAATGAAAATATTTTAAGGAAAAGAAAACATTAATTTTGTAAGTTATATACTAAAAAAATTCTACATTTTGTTTATTATTCTGATTACTATGTTATAAACTTCATTGCTTAGATATTAATATTAATGTTATGAAGTAATATTAGTAAATTATAAAGAAAATATTAGTACATTATAAAAAATATTACTATATTATAAAGAAAATATATAATGAATGAAGTTTTCTGGTTATAACTTAAGCAGAAAATTTATAATGAAAAATGAAAATGACTAACATAAATTTTTATTTGAAATATTTATATTTTCATATTACTAAAAACAAATTATGGGAAAAGAATTATGAATTAGATGAATGCTTAGAAATATTGCTAAAATGTATAAATGATTAAGCTTTTAAAAGCTATGAGAAAACTCATTTTTCATGAAAATAAGAGTTAAGAATTAGCAAAATTGTAATGTAGTAATCAATTGAAATAATATCAATAAAAAATAATTCTGAAATAGATATTGTGTAGAAACAAGAAAGCTACTTTAGAATAGTAATGCCTTATTAAAAAATCAAGTTTTTTAACTTAGGAATCTGATCTTGGTTAATGGCTATTACATTTGGTTAGGAATCAGGTTTCAAAAATATTTTTGAAAAATGACACATTCTTTTGACATGAACATAATCTAAGAATAGAGTTGAAGTTTAGTAACTGCAATCCCTAGATAAAGTATTACATTAATCCTGCTATCTGAAATCAAAGGATGAATCAAAATGGATCTACAGATTAAATAGTAGCTATCATAGTCTCTCATTTAATAATATTAGGTTGAAACAAAAGTTTGTAGCATTTTCCAATATACATATTGTGAACAAATTTATGGCATATACATATTTTGTGAAACATGTCACTTCAACATGCTTTTCTATATCATTTATGTGTAGATTGTGAATTTTAAATGATTTTATATGAAAATTGAAGGAAAATGACATACATTTTTATCATTTGATTCTCTTTTATTTCCATAAAGGAAGAAAAATGCTGTACAAACAGTGAAAAAGATATATACCATTTTTGAAGATCAAACTATAGCTGAGAGTACTATTCATAGATGCTTTGCTAGGTTCAGAAAAGGAAATTTTGATCTGGAAGACTGCAAACATTTCAGCAGGGCTGCAGTCATTGATGATGAGCAAATTGAAGCACCAATGAAGAATAATCCAGGTCACACAACACGGAACATCATAGATATACTCCACATATCTCATAAATATTGTAAGGTATTTGAAACCACATGGATGCACAAAATGCTTATGATATTTGGGTGCCACATGATTTAAAGGAAAAAAAATTAACAGATTAGATTTCCATCTGTGATTCTTTGCTCAAAAGTAACATAACCTATTTTTGAAAAGAAACAAAAAAAAAAAGACAATCACAGCCAATGAAAAATGAATTCTTTACAACAATGTGGAGTGAAAGGGAATGAGCTACCATTAACTACTCCAAAAGCCAGTTTGCATCTGTGTATAGATTGGGATTGGAAGAGAACTGTGTATTAAAAATACCTGCTGTAAAATAAGACACCAACTTCAGATAAGTATCTAATTAAAGGCTGCAAACTCTGGAAAGTATTCAGAACTGTAATTCTGAAGAATGTCATCTTCTATCAGGACAACACCAGACCCCCACATCTCTTTGCAGACCTGGCAGAAATTGGTACAGTTTGGTCCTATCTGACCTTTCACCTTCAGATTACCATATATTTTGATCCCTACAAAATTCTCTTAAGAACTTCAGTTTTCTGGAAGTCTGTAAAAACCACTTAGAAAGACTTAGAAAGATGCCAAGTTCTGAGAGGATGGAATCATGATGCTGTCTCAAAGGTGGTGAAAGATAGTGGAACAAAATGGCACATATGTGGATGAATAACTCTATATAAAATTATCTAAATATTGTTTTTGAAACTTTTGTTCCAACCCAATATAATATCATTGTAAACAGAAAAAGAAAGAAGCTTAATGCTATTGATATCAAAACAAAAACTCACTAGAGATGATATGTTCCCCAGCTGAGCAGGATCAAATCGAGGTAGTTTCTTGTCTGGAGGGTCTGAGCCTCCTGGCTCATCTGTCGCTTGCCTTTTTGTTGCCATTTCTCTGCACCTAAATACAGTTTAACTTTCAACTGCAATAAAAAAAAAAAAATTAGTAAAAGAGAAAAAATATTAATAAAAATAATTTAGCAAGTGTAAAGTAATGATTAAAATACAAAATATAATCTACAAATAAAAGTAATATGAGAAAGTTTAAGAAACTGGTTTATCAGATAATTTAAAAATATATTTTTGTCTTCAACAAAAATCCTAGATTAGCTTTTCCCTAATTCATTGTTTTTTTTGTTTTATTGTACTATCAGTAATGCTAATTAATGTGCCAGATGTTAACCTATGCAAAACAATAATTATAGAAAGTTGAATTAATAACTAATACTAAAGTGAAATGAGTAAGTTTGTATGTATTTGTACAAATAGATTATATATGATGGACTCTCCCATTGAATTCAATGTATGATGTTCCGACGACTACAAACTAATTATCTGCATGCCTATGGCAGGCATGACTTTTGAGACCAGCTCAAGAATTGCACAAAAGACCACAAACAGTACAGGAGAATATGTATATATATATATATACACACTTGATACAACTGGCAACAATTACATATATCCTATGGGTCAGTCATATCGCAATTTCATCACATCTCCAAATCAACACCACATTATTTGAACTTTCTTCTGGTTGCTACTTGCCTTTTTAAGACAAAGAATAATCAAAATGTTTGAGGTTAAAATTCATAAACAATTATAAACCCCTTTTGTAGATATACTGCATCTTTTTCAAAATTATTTAAACTGTCAAAATAAATCATTTGTGATATTAAATCTGGATAAATAATCAGTATTTGCTCTAGTATATCTATGCTTGTTCAGCATTTATCACACCTATTTTTTTTTCTTTAACACAGCTCAGTTTTTATTGATATACCTTATTCATCTCCTGTGCAGCCTGGTATATTATTTCTGTTGTCCTACATTTTCCACAATATATATTATTATGCTTCCTGGGATATGACAAAAAAATGTGTGCGTGTGTGTGTGTGTGCGCCCAGTTCACTTTTTATGCTTATTCTTACTTATATAAGAAAACATTTTTATATCATGTAGATGTTGCTAAATAATGATTCTATAAATGTCTAGATAAAATTTTCCACAAATGATCCCCTAATCATTTTTTGTCATTATAAATAAATTTCAACTAACATTGATTAAATCTATTAATCAATATCTAAAATAGGATTTAAAAAAAATTTTAAATTTATCTTTACAAAACTGATGAAACATTTGTTGAACTGTTGTCATGTTTAATACAATCAAAATATAAGTAATTTACTGGTTATGCAAATAATATGCTACCAGTAAATAAATGAATTAAAATGCTAAAAAAATTGTTCTCTCAGAAATTATGAACTTTGAAATTAAGTAAATATAATGCAATACACAGGGATGGTGAGAAATTCAAATGTTCTTGGTGTGATCTACTTCTCAAAATTTGGTCAAACAAGAAATTTTCAGCATCTACCTGATGATTATATTTATATTTGTGTATAACATCTTTAATATGAAAATGTACACTCTATATAAAGATTAACAAATTGATGTATTGCACTCTTCTCATGATGTAGCAGAAATATTATTTTATAACATGCTAAAATTGAAAAGTAAACGATTCACCCATTTCTATGTATTTTGCAAGAATTCTTCTGCCAAGTTAATGATGAATCAAAAAGAGACATAATCTCCCTAGTGTTCATCCCACATGGCACTTAAGGAAGGAAGAAAGGAAAGAAGACGATTCTGATGACATAGAATTTTCTTTTATTAATTTGATTCTTTTTATTTTTAAGTTAAAAATTGAAAATGTGTTTTATCATCACTTGTTTACACCAGAAATATTATGTGAAAAGGAAATTGCAATTGGTTCTACAGAGAAAGCTTTAAAGTGAAATATACTTAATATGTATATATCAAAAATAGTTTCATTCATTATAATTGTTTTGTTAATAGCATGAAAATGAATGGAAAGGATCAATTGTCACATCTACTTAATTTTACTTTAAGTATAGTATTCAAGAAGTATTAAAAATTTAAAATAAACACAGAGCAACAGAGTGCAATTGCAAATTTACTCAAATATGCCTTTATTTTTTGAGAGCACAAGTAAATTAGTTCAATAAATAATAATCACAAAGTAAATATGGATTACTTGTACAAACTTATACAATTTTTCTTATAACATTGATAAAGTTTATTTTTTTAGGTCAGACCAATTTTCTTTTTCCTGTTTTTGTATTTAGAAATAATAAAATTCAAGATATAATATAAACTTAATTGATTCACAAATATAACTCTCATGAATGTTACATTTACAATAGAATTATTGAAAGTAGTTACTGTTTTATTACATGAATTAGTTAAATCAATATCCTGATATTTTTTCAACCGGTCGGAATTCTGTTTGATGAAGCAGAAGTTCATACAAGTCAACAAAATTAAGGAGTTTCTATTCAAAATTCCTTGAAGATTACAAAATACACTAGAGAGTATATTAACTGAAATATAGCAATCAAGACAACCAAAAGATATTTAGGGCCAGAAAACATTTAACTTTAAACAATTTTCTCTGGCATTCATCTTGAATTACTAGCCAATGTAAATATCCATATTAAACTTTTTTCTAATATACAGAATATAAATCATAAAAAATAAATTTAAAAGAATTCATTATTTCAAATATATTTTAATAATTATTAATTGCTGTGATCACAATAAATTATTTGGTTTTTGAATTGCATCTTTGGTAGCTAGTTTTTATTTTCTAATTTCTTCAACCAGAATACCACATTCTAACAACAGATTTAATAACTGATTTCTAAAGACCACTGCATACAAAATACATTTGCAGAATATTCTGACAAATATATCAATAAATATATTATGGCTAAAACAATAAAAATGAAGATACTTGTACAAGTAATATGTAGAACAGAAGCAATTAAAAAGTTTCAGAAAATTATCCATATGTGTTAATTTCTTGTAATTAGAATTCATTACAAATAAAAAAAATAGTATATGGTATCAAGATAAATTATACAGAATAGCAGTGAACAAATTTTTTCTACTTAATCCAGAGTTTAAAAAAGTACATTTTTAAAAATTTTGTTAAACATAGTGTTGGTTAGCAGAATGAACAAACTTTATTAAAGTGTAAATGTTTTCAGTTTAAGGAACAGTATTTATATTTTGTTTTACTGAAAATAATAATTTTTAATAGTCTTGAAACAGCCTGAATTTTATTAAAACTAATTATTATGACTGTAAAAGAAATTAAAATAACTTAAGATGTATGAGAATTATTTGTATCATTTTAACATGATCTTCCCTAGAGTTGCCATTTGAAAATCTTTTTTTCCTAAGTTTTGTCAAGTGAACATCCTTACTGAAAGCAATCTAAAGCAGGTGAATGAAGATGTTTCATTATAAATCATCATTTTAGGGAAAGTTAAAGAAACTAAGAAAGATGATTTTATTAATAAAATTATTGGTCATTTATATGAATAAAGAAATTTCTAAATGAATTATCAACAAATCTGTTATGTCACTTTAATTCTTGTAGATAATCCTTTAAAAAGGAATATGCTTTCTTAATTCTGAACATTTGCTTATGATCTAACATGATCTAATTAATCATTTGCATATACACTCTACCCAATGGATTCCCAAAATGCACTGAATGATTAAGTGTTTGATGTTGAAATCTGTCTTGACTGTTTTGAGGGATCACTTTAGCATCTTATCAACTTAAATTAGTCTAGACACAAGGATATTAAGTGATCAAGTTTTAAAGCATTTTATAAGTTGTATTCGTTCTATAGTTCTTGTAATATTTGTGTTATGAAAACAATAAAAATTGCAAGAAAATGAATCAACCTACATTAGTAATTATTTTTAATAGTTTTGCTGAAGTTTCATTACAATCAAAATAAATATTTTGCTTGGCATTTATTTTCTCAGTTTCTTTCTCACATAAACATTGATAAGACATGATCTGAAAAGATACCACTTTGATGACCTGTTCTGTAATTCAGTTGTGACAAAAGTTAGTTAATATTTGTTGCTACAAATGCTACCACTATTAAATTAAAACATTTTTAATTTGGATGCAACTGAAGTAATAATATTATTAAAGTAATTTATAAAAAAATAAAAAGATGATGCAACTGAAAAAAAAAAATTATCAGAGAAAATATGAATGCATCAAGCAAGACGTTTTAGACAGCTTGGAATTGTTGAACCAACTTTAAATTTGGCAAATGTGGGTATCATGTATGAATTCAACCTAATTTGAGCTGATATGATGAAACGAATGAAGAGCAGATCAGTTTTGATATCGCATATTTTAAGTTAATGTCCTCAAAGAAGAGAGTTTATTTTTCATTCAAAATATCTTTTCATCATAAGTGAAATTATAAAAGACTAAATAAAGTATAGTATGACAGTTACTGATAAATACAATAGACATTTTAAATGTGGGTCTTTTAATGAAAGATGACCATTCATTCACTGAGATTTGTAAAGATCTGATCTGAACTGAACTGAATTATTAAGATATATTTTTAATCTAAACTAACAAAATTAGAATACAGTTTTTCTTCAGTATATTTTGCTTCCAAAAGCAATTTTAACAATAGAAAAGATTAAGACAACTTTTGAAACAATCATGTCGAAACTATAAACATTGACCGACACATGATTTTTTTGTTAACCCTGCATGGGCGTCAGTTAATCTGCAAATACATAATTACATTTTTAAGTGGAAATTAAGCTACTTTTGATCGAAAAGCTTAAACAAAAATATTATTTAATGTATCGGATCCTAAATCAAATGCTTGATTAAATAAATTACGCAAGAATGAATTCTGTAATGAAATTAAATAAAAAAAAAAAAAAAGAATTTTTTTTACCAAATAAAACAATCAGTATTATTGAAAAATAATAAATAAAACTTAGATAATCATTGATCGCTTTAAAATATT